TTTTCAGTGTTTAATTTAATATTTGTCCCTTTCTTTACGAGTTCGGTTATCTGCCTCTCATATTGATTTAGCCGAGCCTTAAAGCGGAGCTGCAACTCTCACGGTGACCATAATAGTAGGATACTTTGCTGAGTCTGGGTCATCAACAAAAAAAAAGTTTTTACGAACAGACGGACATAAGTAGTTACCCTTCGAAACAAAATGTAAGTTCCCCAAACAGAATGTCTCAGAACAACACGATAATCATGGTCCATTCAGAAAAAAGTAAATTATATTCGAATTTAAAATCACGAACATCGAGTCAAATAAATTTAAATTTCTCTTCACTGACTATTTCTTCAAAAAAATCATTGTCCGAGAGACCCGGCGGAGGGGAGGGGGCATTTATAACAGCAGACTTTGAGACAGACTCCGAAAATCCGGAAGGAAAAAACGTTATCGAGCTTAGAAAGGAATTTTAGGGGAAAATTTTAAAAATATGCACGTTTTCTTATTAATTCAATATACCGCAAAGGTTTTCCGGCGAAGAGGTTTCCACCAGAATCTTCTATAACTGAAAATACTTCATCCTACTGGTTTTGAATTGATCATGAAATGTGCCAGAGCAACTGAAGTATATTTTCATAGTTTGTAGAGGTGTCACCTTGAATATCGTTTATTTCAGAAACAAATTCCAAGTCTCTTGCGCTTTATTTGGCGTTATCTGAGGGTCTCAATGGGGTTAACCGTCAGCCGTAAAACGACCAACAAATTTAGTCGTTAAGCGTAAAAACTGACAAATTGTAACCGTTAGTCGTTGAAAAAAATAACAGTAAATAAATTTTCTGGTTACAACAATGGAAAGATTTTAACCGTTGGCCGTAACAGCCATCACTCCATTGAGACCCTCTTAAATAAGAGAGAAGTTGCGATCGATTGTGTAATACTTGCAAATTATTGATGGACAACAGAATCACTGACTGTGCAAAACAGAAGTTCTGATGCAATTCGCCGACAAAACTATTCAATTGCGTTCTCTATCAGTATTTACAACCTACGTGTTAAACCGTGACTAGTATCGGCTAGAGTAAATGTTGCTTCATCACAAAACTGAAATCAGCGATGCCAACCGAAGGAACAGATCGTCAAAGGACTTAGCTGCGGAAGAGGAACTCTCGGAGTGTATGTGATGCTATGTTTTTATCATGGGTGCTTTATATTAAGACATTTCATTGATTCGTTCACTTATTGTAAAATAGGAAGAGCTTAGCTAGTTTACTGTGTCAAACAAACCAGCGACAAAGATGCTAATACCTAACACAAATAGTACAGTCAAACCTGTATTAAGCGGTACTGTATTTCGCGGTCACCCTGTATTAAACGGTCAGTCGTCAAAGTCCCGAATTTGTTTCTCCTGGTCACTTTTCTTAAGCGGTCACCTCTATCAAGTGTCACCCTTTACTAACTCTCAACTTGGTGTACCAAGTCTATGATTTGGGAAAACTTTAGGTTTTGGTTTTCTAAAAAGTGTACTACACTGGATGTTTTCAGGGATTTGAAGTCATGATTATCTGTCTGAATTTACCGTTCCCTTACCCACCTGCATGCGACAAAATTTTGTTGTTATAACAACAACACGAAAGATCGCCGATCGAAGAAGCAAATACACAAGTCAATAATTCATATTTTTATTTGTTGTAACACAAAATGAATACGGAGATTGAACTGCTTATCACTTGTGACGCAACTAGGGCGCATGTCGGGCTCGGTAAGCAGTTTTATAATTTAAATTTATGCGCCATATGCGTATTATGTATGGCACACTGTCATCTGTAATCCCAAACCATTGTGACATAAACGAATTCTGTGGTTAACCCTATTGACCTCGGCTTTTTTATGTTATTGATTATATCTCAAAGAAGGATAATGATACGCATATATTAAATAGTATACAGAATGACCATTGGATCGGACCTTTCCTTTCTAGCGGACTGATTTTTGATGAACCCCTAAGTGTATCGAAATTATGAACGACCAATCATAAAACAAACGGCGTGTTTATTTGTGACTGACCACACAGTGTGTCAGTACAGTCCTCATCACACTAGGAAGAACTGAACTGCAAGAGAAGAAATGAATTGCAAGAACGACAGAAACTTTCCTTGGCACTTTCGTTAGAAGAGAATAATGGTCATTAATCGTCACGTTTGCAGAAAGATCTCTCGATGTTCCTTGGCAATCATGCAGTTGTGCTTCTCGTTATTTTTTTGATTATACCAGTTTATCTGCGGGCCGAATAATCAGAATAAACCAGATCCCGTTGAAAATCATTGGTTTGAAGGTAAGAGTCAATCACTTTGGTCAAGTGACGAATCGTTTTGATCTGAGGGACAATTTTCGATTATTTTTCAAGTTATTCATTTGAGGTAGCCAACCTTAAATCTTTTGTTTGTTCGCTTTCCTCCTTACTTACAGTAATTTTTAATTCTCAACAAGCTATCGAACAAATTCGTTAAAAAACGAAGTTACAAATAAAGTTGAATGCACTTCATATATTTGCTTCATTTTGTTTTGTTAGGCACAAACCCAGTTCAGTGCACAGAGGATGTCGCAGATGACGTTCTAGTTTAGAGAAAGATCAAGATGGGAACGCTGACGAGAAACAAACAATAATATTTGGTGTCGTAAATTGTAAAAAACTTAATCGTGCAACATTTTACAAAATATCTAGCTGATTTCAAATCAAACCCATAAAAACTCACTTGTAATCGTTAATCGGAAATTTAATCATATTAGGTCTAAAGAGCGTCTGTCCCTGGTTCCTCTTCAATTGTTATGTCCGTTTCGAACTTTCTACCACTAAACAGTTGGCGCGTGAAGATTAGTCCATATGCAAATAATTTCTGTTCATGACCCAATCAGTTAGCCACAGCATACAGGTATGTAGTTATAACAATGACATCATCGTAACTTTAGGGAAGCCAAAGAGTCGCTGTCACAACTTTGCTATATGTAATGAAAGTCTACTTTGAAAATTTTCCTTTTAGGAACTTGACAATAAACAAGATTACATCTTTACAAATTTACGATCATACATTTGGTCAACTACACTTCTACTATACTGGCACATTATAGTGCAATGAAGTCCATTTTTGTCATAAATAGCAATACCGTTGATAACTCTCGGTCAGTTTATTGTTACAACAATATGTGCAATAAGTGGAATATGTGTTAATAGTAGTTAACGCGAAAGCTTCTAAATAAACGTAACAGAAGTGGATGTACATTATTCAGGCCAGAATTTTCCAAAATACTTTTGACTTGATCAGTTTATACCAACGAACCAAAAACCAAGAATATTGCCACACCGAGTCTACGACAATGTCCATCGGCGCGTTTCTGTCATCGCTCATTTAATAGGTGACGGTGGTCTTTCCACGTGTAAATTTGCTTAAATAAAATCAAATTTTAGCCCTAAATTCACTTAGGCAAACTACAGAGTATAACGGAAAATAACCGAAACGAGACAAACCCATCAGTAGCAGTTGCAGCGCTTTGTTTTTTGTCTTATTGTGTGACCTCCGAAGATAATTCGGGGATTCCCCTTATAAAGGTTGAAAAATACAGTTTAAAGTCTCAAAACGTTTGGAATATTTAAATACAAAAGACTGTGTCTTGACGCCCATCTTGTTTTGCAGAGATAGAATTCTCCGAGAATCAAATCTTACACATGTAAGTGAAGTATATTTATATGTTGTAAGAAGCAGAGAGGGTGTACGTACAACTTGCATTTGAACAAATATGGCCCGATATCGACAAAATACTAATGCTAATCGCATATTTGAATTATTCCTAGAGTTACATGAATTTCTTTTTTAAGATCATAATATACTTTACAGTAAAGTTTCTCCGATCTTAAATCGCTTCGTTCGGTTGCATATCCGCTGCTGTGCCTGGGACCTCTTGAAACTAAAATAAGATCAGAGAAATAACGAAAAAAGGTTTTAAACCATTGATCGTCGGTATCAGTGCCGCTTGATTTCTCAGAATTCGAGTCGTGCCTCGACTCGTCGCAATTTACATTTGTTTTATTACTTTAGTTCTTTCTTTTAGTCATCTCCCCCTTATTTACACATAACACTGCTCTAACCGACTGGGGCTTAAGTGATGATCAATGTTTTCTACGCGCCTTAAACTAGGATTGTTTCCTCGATATCTACAGCTCTGAAGCGAGATATTGATTCGGAAGTAAGCAAGGCTTGTCTTGTTTTGACAAACTTGCTCCAGTTACTAAGCAGAAGGAAAGAACAACATCGACGAATGAACACGCATTGAGAGTGACCCTAGGAACCCATAATACTAATGACCCTAGGAACCACAAAAGATTTTTTTGCAAACGTTGCTATCCGCTTGCTTACAAATCGAGTTTCAAAAAAACCTCCAAATTTCAGACAGAATGAACTCTGGCGAAATGATGATTGACCAATTTAAAGCACTGCTACGCTGTCATACACACTAAGTATGTGGTAAAGATAATCGCCCCAGTTTTCTGACTCTTCTGTCGATTAACTGAAGCTTGAGTCGCATTCATAACTAGCAAAGGCTGGTCATGTTACTCCGTAGCATATTTTCAATCCCCTAATTTCAACCTTACACCACTGAGTTTTAAATTTGCATTGGCAGGTTGACATTTTGAACTGTAAAGTAAAACTTCTTTGTTTATTTTAATAGGCCTCTGTTCACACTCATCTGCGTATCTGCGCATCTTTGGTTTTCTTGGGACCACACAACTCACGCACTTGCTCGATCCCGGGGCACTAAGTTCCGAGTTGGGCCCACTCTAAATTTCAGTTATTATCAGTATTTTTAGGAGCTAATTTACAAACAACTACTATGAATACGCTGAATACAATTACTATAAATACATGTCACTTATTAGCTGATTTCAAATTCTCTTATCCATTTCTTTTAAGGGAGTCATCAACACCAACCTGGAAGGATACACCACTGATATCTCCTGAATGCCAGGGTATACGTTTTCTATGAACAGCGCCGTTGATTCACGCTATTTGTGTTTACTGTGCAAAAACATCCTCAAAGATCCTGTCCAGACGGGTTGTGGCCATGTTTACTGCACCTCTTGCATTCCTCGCCTCAAGAGGTAACAGAGTCACTGATCATAATTTCAATAAATTTCGAAAAACAAGCCTAAACAAGGCTTTGTTATAGGAACTCTGCAATGCAAAATAATCTCAAGGGTTCATGCACCTTTTGCAGAGGTGTGTAGTAAATGTAAAAAGGTTTTGGTTGGCCGAGTTAGCGTGGGATTAGTGAAATCAACTGTAGAATTGCCTCTATCAGCATCATCATTAGTGCATCCAAATTTCACCGTTACGAATTTTTCAATTAACAGGGATGATGGGACCTATATTTGTCTTGTTGACAAGGCATCCTTCGCAGCAGACCAGGTAAATTTGTAAGGACACATTCTTAACATGAAATGGTATAGTTGGTGTTAAAGGATCCAATATTAATCAGGCCGAAGACCCGCTTTGATAACTTTTTTAACGGAAACGGTTCTTTAATTTGTATGCAGATATTCCCTGACAACTTTATGAAGCGCGAAGTTCTTTCCCTCGTAGTCAAATGCCCTAATTCACCAGATGGCTGTAAGTGGAAAGGAGAAGTAAGACATATTGAGGTAAGTCAGAGTCAGAAAAGCCAAAGAACCAATCACACTACAAATCGCAAGTAGGATTTATCATCTGGTAGAGTAAGGAGAAAGTCTAAATTTCATTGGTTGAGAAGGGGGTCCAATCTTTTGGAAAAACAAAAGTACCAATGGCGATCAAAATCGCTATCTCTTTTACCTGTAAGTCATAAGTCTTCATATTCCCTGCTAATCTTCTCTCCATTTTCAGTCTGTTGTTTTTCAATGCGTTCTGACAAAAAAATATAAACTTTTCCCAGCCACGCGAACCAATAGGCAAAGAGAATAAAATTACTGAGTTTTCTTAATTGTACAAAGTGTATTCTTAGGACTACTGTAAAACTATATCAAGCGAGGAAAAAGTCAAACAATACACAAAGAACGGCGCTTGATGGAGGCACTATGATTTTCTTTTCTGTCTTGTGTAGAAACACCGGTCTACTTGCCCTGAGGAAAAAGAAAACTGCTCCAACCGTAACTGTCAAGAACGTGTGAAAAGATCCGATCTTCAGCGACATCAGGAACACGAGTGTCCGTATCGCACCCAACAGTGCTCCTTGTGCGGTGATTCTATGACTGCTGCTGTTCTTAAGGTCAGTTTGATCACCCCTCTAAAGCTACTTTTACCGCAATAACACTTCTAATTCAGGCGCTTTTTAAATCATATGACCAGTGTAGTTTAGTTTGTTTTAAGGACAACATCATAATGCCTTGCTTTTCATATATGCGTATGATTAAAATTAACTCTACACCATTTGCAATAAGTGACAACAAATGGCCAACTCCTTTTAACATGTCGGAGGCGCCTCTGTCCTTTATCATCGGTTTTCCACGTACAATTGCATTCACACGTACCTTTATTGAATCATCTTCAAAACAAATGAATTCTCACCAACTGTTTTTGTCTCGATTCCAAATTTTTAGACTCATCAAATACAGGATTGCAAAATGTATCCCATTCAATGTCCCGGATGTGGCAAAGAAGGAATTCCGCGAGGAGAGGTAGACATGTTTAAAACGTCAACTAATTGCATGCACATTTCTCCTGGTGGACAGCCAAACAGTTGAACAGAATTCGATTATTACTTTCAGAAATTTATCTCAAAGCTAAGGAAGAAGTTTTACCCTATTCTTATGAAGCGCTACATTTGCATCAGTATGTGTTATTTTTGCTGTTGATCTATTTCATTTTTGTAGTGCACAAAAGTCTGCAGAATTAGATCGTACAACTTAAGTGTCCACCTTTCCTTCAAAAAAAGCAATAAACCAAATATTACACTGCTCTTCTAAGACACGGAAATTTAGAGAAACCCTTCTGAGTTGTCGACCTGTGCTTACAACTAAGATTTTTACCTTCCTTTCATTTCAATCCTCACAGATGGATAGCCATGTTAATCCCATTCATGGTGACTGTGAGGTAGTCGAGAGGACCTGTGCATTTCAACAGATTGGTTGCAGCAACAACAAGGTGCGTCTCATAATGAATATTTCACCTAGTTGCCTTTTTAAAACTATTGAAATAAAATTTATCCTTCGTATGGGCCACCTACCGAAGTGATAATAAAGTTCCCCGGTGTTTCACCATTCGAAACACTGGCGTGTTAAATGAAGTCCCCTTCAAAGCCGTTTTATTGAGATGTCTAACATCTTCAAAAACGGCTGAAAAAGATATTCAACAGGGGGCACTTAATCTACGAAAAGTTGCAATAAAAGTATCAAAAAAGCAAAGACGATTTGTCAAGTAGAAATTTCGTTTACACACACCAACTACCAAATAATCAGGGATGATTTTCTTAAATCCCTGCACTAACAGAAAATGAAGCAATCCGAGGTCAAGAAACATAATGAGCTGAGTGCAATTTTGCACATAAATCTACTTTTGACGAGTGTTCTTCGGCTGGAGGAGCAAGTTAAAAGTCAGCTCTCTATGGGTGGTGCATGTGGTGGTGGCACCTCCGATCAGTGGATGAGACGATCGGAGATGACCATCGCTAACGCCATATCAAGCATCGACACAGTGGTACGCGAGCAAACCGATTTACGACAGAAGCTAGAAGATAATTCTATGAGACTTGTGTCGATGGAAAAAAGAGTTTCAACCCATAGAGACCAGTTCCCACAATCGGCAACTTTCTCTTCGTTACAACCACTCCCCATTTCGGACGAGATTTCACGACGTCTCACAAATGCCGAAAATGGCACCAATAACATCGAGTTCTTGGTAAACGAAACAAGGCGTGAGTTGAACGAAGTCAGACAAGAAGTATCGTCTGTTAAACGCCAATTGGATGGCGCAGTGGACAGTATTAGACGACTCGAACGAAGAATGGAGTCTGTAGAACACAATTTGGCGCTCAGAAATGTTGTTTTGTCTGATATCGAAGAACATGTTCAACAGCAGCAAGTTTCTACATATAATGGGATCTTACTCTGGAAAATATCGGATTTTGCACGTAAGAAAAATGATGCCGTAACTGGGCGAGAGGTCTCAATATATAGCCCGTGCTTTCATACCAGTCAGCATGGTTACAAAATGTGCGCGCGACTTTACTTAAACGGCGATGGAATGGGTAAAGGAACCCATCTGTCGCTGTTCTTCGTTGTCATGCGTGGAGACTACGATGCATTGCTCCGCTGGCCATTCAGACAGAAGGTGACCTTCATGCTGTTAGATCAAGATAACGTAGAGCACGTGGTTGATGCTTTCAGACCCGATCCAAACAGCTCATCGTTTCAAAGGCCACGAAGGGAATCAAACATTGCGAGTGGGTGCCCGATGTTTTGTTCTCTATCGGAGTTAAATAACCACGCCTATGTGAGAGACGATGTTATGTTCCTGAAAGTTCTTGTAGACACAACAGATGTCTGAAAATGTCGGAGATTTGAGTGAGGGTGAGGAATAAACGGTAGAGATATCTAAGAAATATCCAAAAAATTGAATACTTTCTTGAAGAAAAGGAGAGTAGTTTCTGTGAAATTACGCGAGAAAAAACAGAGTAGAAAGAAAAATTTCCATAGCATTCAACATATTTTCTTCGACAATTATTGATATATGGAATGCCGTATTAGTTCTTATAGCACAGTAATTGCAGGAACGACTTGAAATCGATAGAGTAGTCCTCTGCATGAAAAGCGCATGCGAAAGGTATATAAAGAAATGTAGTGCAAATGCAAGATAGGGCCCCTTTTGACATTCTATAGAGCCTTTTATAATCCTGGTTACACTGAAACAGGATTCTGCTGTAGTGCATGAATACTCTACGAAAAGGTTTATATGAAGTCAACTGATTAGTCGTATTTGATGCGGCATCAACAGTGTGAATTTGACTTTCTAAATCCCCTTTAAAACTTTTATCCAGCATTTTACTGATCACATATTTTTTGAAAGTCTTAAGCGATTTACGGAAGTATTTTCCGAGCTTTGCCCCAGGACGAAAAAGCAGGGGAAGCTAAGAAAAACACAGTATATGGGTCGAATTGTTTTGAAGCACCAAGTAATTTACGTGTAGGAAATATTCGATATTCTACAGCATTTTCGCACAACTGAGGGGTGGCTAACCTTAGCTAAACTCGCCGGTTATTCCAGTAGACCCTTTGAATGCAAATTCCGTAAATAAGAGCCTTATTCAATTTCACTGAACATTTCCTTTTATCGATATTCTCTACACCATATCAATCATCTATCGAGTTATAATAAAATAGTTAGAATGTACGGTACGTTTGCGTGTAAGGCAGCAGATACAAAGTTTTTTTGCGGTAATCGACTTTGATGTGTCATTACAACGTTTTCACCTACAAAGGCAAGCTGCAGTAATTCATACGATGAGGAAATTACTTAGTTGTTGCCCTTGTTGTTGTTGTTTTTATTTATCTTTTCTTTTTCAAAACCTAAAACCCATACAAAAACCACTCGAAGCCAGTTATTACGGTGGGAAAGATTTTTTCGGTAATTTCAACCGATAGCATAATGTGTGCGATCAGCTGACAGTTGTCACCAGCAACGGCGATTTTTTAACATTTGTCAAGTTAATTTTTGCTCAATATCTAATAGAGTTTCAACAATAAGCCAAAATCTTTCAGAACAATAAAATTCAAACGTTTCATGTCTTAGCGTTTAAAACGAGTGAAATCTGAACTATTTCTATCTTTACTATCATCATCACTATAATTATTATTATTATTATTATCACTATTATTACGTTTATAATTAAGAGTTTATAGGTTCGAAATTTCTATCGTGCACAGCAATAGACAGCGATTGATCTAATTGCATTCGAAAAAGCAAAGTTTTTCAAATCTCAGCAATAAGGCAGGCTCATTTCTTCATTGAATAATAGCTTATCATACGTGCCACACACTTTACTCAATATTTATAAACAAATAGAGAGCAAGTAGCGCAGCCAATAAGATTGCAGCATCTTTCATAGAACGGTGGAAGATTATGTCAATTGCTATCGTTAGTATTTTTATCATAATTTGTCACTGCATTGTATAAAGGCAGCGAACTTTTTGATTTTGAGTGGTTAAATTTAATCAATTAAAGTGGTAAAAGACAACGAAAAAGATTAAGTCTGGTAAGAATAGTATATATTCTTCTAAGAAACTAATAAAACGAGGCGAACTCATTTGATAAACATGGCGAGTAACAAAATAGAAGAGAAATTTATGGTTTAAAATTTATGGCATAAATTTCGTGTTTTATTTTGATTTGGCTGGTCCTCGTTCATGTCTTATTGAAAGAAGTAAAATAAAACGGGGAAAATCCTAAAAAAATTCTGTAAAAGTCGGTAAAACAAAAGCACACCCCGTTAAAATAGAACCAGGCCTCAGTTTGATTGTGAGTTTTAGAGGTCAGAAAAGGAAACTACAATGCCTAACTTCCAGTATGTCCACTACGCTTTGCTACAGTGTAGAGGTTGGATATGTTGAACTGAAGATCATCACATAGCATTGTTACACTGAGTGTTGGGAGCAGTCGAGACTTCCTCGGCTTTCCTTTTATAACTCTGTCTTGGAATATTTTCGATGATATATATATATATATATTATGTATTGAGATAGGGAAAATCCCTATCTCAATACATATCGCGCTCTACTTTTATGTATCGAGCACTGTAAAACAGAAAAATCAAATCACAAGACTTCCTAGATATAGATGTATATATTCATTTTCAACTTTGTAGCTTCATGCTGTAAATTCAGGTACTAGTGTTTTAGGCACTACAAGTATAAGAACCCTTACTATTAGGGTACTTACTTATGGTAGTCTCGTTTATTATTGTTAGCGTTGTAAATAGAGTGAGTTTGTTAGTATAGTAAAAGCAAACAAAAAAAAGCAAAATATATTGTCGCGTTTTTTGGATATAAACCTCACCATGTTTCATCATTAAATCGTTGTAGCTTGTTTGAAATCGGATAATAACTGCAATTTTCGCCATCTTATTAATGTTCCAATTTTGATGACCATGTGCTCTGCACTACAACCGTCTCTGTAATATTTTGTCGTAGTAAACAAATGTCGCATCACGGAAATGCCAATTTAGACAACTGCGAAACAGGAGAGCATGACGCTTCTCCTTTGGGTGTTGAAGAGACGCTTCTTGGCTTTCCTCACGGTAATTTAGTTATTAGAATAGTGCACTCATATTGCCGGGATAACACTTTGAAATCCCATAAAGCCCTGATTTTTCTCATTTTTTTGAGCTCCTTTATCTAGATGCATGAATTGATAATTCCACTGCTTAGAAACTAGGCACTGTATTATAACATGCTGGATCCTTACACAACAGTAATTTTAATACTTCCTTGAAATATTTGAAATATTGTAAATATTCAATTAGATGTTAAGTTTGTGATTAATTTTTTTAACTATTGCTTAAGAGTTACTTTGAATTAGTTTCTAGCGCTCAAAATTAGTTTAGCTGGGAGAAATTAAACACAAATAAAGTTTCTTACTCTATCTCATCTCATAGTTTTGTCAGCTATTACACTTTCAACGAAAGGAACATCTAGAAACATATCTACCCTACAATTCTATGTTCTTTTAAATTAGAATATTCAGTCATTTTTCACCATACTATGAGTTCGTTTCAAAAGACTCTAGGCATAGATAAAACTGAGCACTGCGTGATATTGTCTAAATGACTTATCTACAGTTCTAATAACCCCTGCTTTCAATTTTTTCTTTGATTGCACCGCTGTTTCCTTGTTTGCAGTCTGTCTATAGTTTTTTTTTCTTGTATTGGTTGATATTAGGGCACCATCACTACTGTACCTACTTACTGCTGTGATTCAACTAAGAAACCATGGAAATAGCGCCTCGAGTTGAATTATAATGTTATCTACACAATATAAGCGACTTAGAGGTAGTTAATGCTGCATGTACATTTTTCCGAGGATGGTAGCTAAAATATCGCGCCACCAAACAGTACACTGTTCTAGACATTGGCCTACGCTGTTTTCGCCAGCAAAATTCCTCGTTTCAGTGCACAGACAATGGCAGTAGTACCTCTTCCTACCACGGTCGCAAGTTTGAAATTAGTCACTTGCCTGGTTTAGACTTGGAATTGTACCAATTCCTACCAAACATATTCTCCACCTTTTCACAAAATAAACACTTTATAGGATTCCAAACTGAGATCCTGGGTCAACAAGATAACTAAGAGATTTCTAGGCAGGGCAGCACGAAGTTTAATTCTCTTATGTAGCATACTGCAAACCTCGCACAAATCGTGTGCCAACCTTGTCCCATTGTGTTACCAACCACGCGCCATCGTTATGACAATTGTTTGCCAGTTTTGACTGAACCTTGCACAAATGGTATCTCTCCTTAGAAATGTCTGCCATTTTTTCCCTGCACAAAAACCTACGCGAATGCTATCAAAGCGGCACAGTGACTAAGGTCTGCATTGCTAACGGTAAGGTGATAGATCTTCGAATGTTCGCCAGCAAGGGGGAAGGAAGACATTTTCTGTCTCCTCCTTTAAGTGAAAGCCACAGCCGACACACTTAATGGAGAAAAGAGCTTGAAAGCTGTTCAGCCATTTCTGAAGGACAAAATAAAAAATGATCACCCTAGTTTCGTTTTTAATTTTGCATTATAACATACAGCTTGGGAATGTAATCTGCCTTTTTCCAGGAACAAAACTGCTCCAGATCAGTACGATAACAAGCAGTGAAACTGGGATAAAAGGTGTTACCCAAGAGGGGACCGTTATTTGAAGAAGGTTATTCACCAGTCACAGGTGAGCTCTTGGCCAATGAAGAAAATAAATGCAGCGCACCATGATGATATTGTGCAGCCCCAAATATTAAGACATATGCTACCTCTTAACACTTAAGGAAAACATACACTCAAAAAAAACTGGCAGGAGGCAGTGCAAGATTCACGTCGCCAACCAGTGATAGAGATCGCTTGCAAAAGCTCCATTTCATCTTTCTCGTAAAAGTTTATTTTAAGTTAGAATTATTTCCATTATTCTGAAAGCGGGTAACTCGACGTTGTCACTTTCCTGATTATACGTTTGCTTAATATGTGTAACTTGACGCAAAGGAAATTACCGTATTTCGAAGTGCTCGATTTTTGGCAGCAGAGATCAATTTCCGAATCGCTCGATGAATTTCAACGGGGAACCTAACAGTAACAATGCTGTCGTTATCATGGCTGGGACAACTGAAGTTGGGCCACCCAAGGGTTATGAACTGGCGCGATTAGCTCCCTAACAGCTCTCAATCGCTTTATGCTGTTTGGATGTATCCAAATGAGCGTCGAATTCAAAATATCAAATACCTTTACAGAAGCAATTTTGTTGTAACTTTTTGATGTGATCAGGCTAAACTTATGAAGAGAGAAAGGTCACGAAGGTAAGG